TTTTTGTTTTTGTTTTTGGATCCAAGTACCAGTCTTCGTATTTTGTACATGTAGTGTCTCATTTAATCTTTATGACAATTTGTGTTACTGGATGATTCCACTCCTTTACAGTGAAAGAATTAAAGCCTAAGTTATTACAATTTCTTTATAGTCACTAACGTAGATAGTAGCAAAGTTGGTATTTGACTCCAAATCACGAATTCCTTCCATGGTGCCATACAATTGCTTATTTAGTTTCATAGCTTTAGTGGTGTGTTAGCTGGTGTTATGTCTGCTTGAACAAGCTGGAGTCATTTTAGAAGATGGAACTCTAATTGAGAAAATGCTCCCACCAGATTGGCCTATGGTGTATTTTCTTGATTGATCATTGATGTGGGAGGGCCCAGCTCACTGTGAGTGGTGCCACCCCTGAAATGGTGGCTATGGGTGCTGTAAGAAGGCAGGCTCTGGAAGCCATGGAGAGCAAGCCATAAGTAGTGTTCCTCCATGGCTTCTTTCAGTTCGTGTTTCTAGGGTCCTGCCTTGAGTTCCTGCCTTAATTTCCCTCAGTGATGGAGTGACCTGAGAGCTGTAGATGAAATAAAGTCTTTCCTCACCAAGTTGTTTTTGGTTGTGGTGTAGAAACCCTAAGATAGTGGTCAGTTTTGTTCAGGCAATTGTACTTGTTTCCTGCTTTGACACAGATTTACTTCCATCTTATTTTCTTCTCAGTGTGAAATGACAGCCATCAGTTATTAGTCTGAGCATTATATTCATCTGCCTACTTACCACATAACCCATCCTCTGCTTCCCCCACTCGACTTAATGACTAAGTACTGTTAATTAGCCTTTGTAATTTCAACTTTTTTTAAAAATCAAGTTTTCTCTAAACAAAACTTGTATTTTCTTTTCAGTTTGCTTTAATTTAGCCTAGATTATAAGGACTTTAAGAAAGGCTGCCATAGAGCTGAAACAACAATAACACAGCAGAAAACCCACCCAGAACTTTAGGTCACGCTGAGTCTGGCCCTGGTGGGACTGGCGCATGTTAGCCATTTGGAATGTTTTTGTTGAAAGTGATAATCAGGGCTTTAGTAACTTTTATTTTTTTGTAAAGAATATTAGTTTCTAAGGTGACAGAAAGCTCTGATGTGTGTGTGTGTGTGTGTGTGTGTGTGTGTGTGTGTGTGTTTGTGTGTATGTGTGTGTTTATTCATGTGCATGAGTTAAAACAAGAAGTTATAGCAACAATTTCTAGTACCAGTATGTCTTTTATGCAGTGTTGGTATTGAACCAAGGCCTTGTATGTGAGATATGTGCTCTATCATGGAGCTACATCCCAGCTTTTTATCCCACTCTTAATGCTTGCTTACTTTCTGATCGTGTGTCATTTGCATCTGTTAATGGGACTATCAGAATCATACTTTATTGGTCATTATAAATGCTGAATAAAACAAAGATGAGAAAATGATTTCAAAACTTTAAACTATTCTATACATATAATCCTTTTCATGTTTTGAAATTAAAAACAAAAAGGCTGGACATGATGTAATCCCAGCCCTTGGGAGTCAGAGGCAGCAGGACCACTGAGGCCAGTGAGGGTCTGTATAGCAAGTTCCAAGCTAGTGAGGTTACATAGTGACACTTGGTCTCTAAAATCCAAACCAAATAAAAAGACAAAGAAGAGAAAGAGTGGGGATATTGCTTAGTGGTGGAGAGCTTGCCTACCATGTGCAAGGCCCTGAGTTTGATCCGCAGTCCTCTCCCAATCCTTGCTAAATAGGCTTTACTTTTATTTGTAAAAGTATTTACATTTATTTAAGTATTTATTAAGTGATACTTAATATATAATGTTTTATATAATATATAATATGTAAACATATAAAATAACACATAAAATATAAAAAATATGTAATATAAAATAATATATTCATGTATGTAATAATATTTAAGTATAAATCAAGTATTTATTATGTAATATTTAAAAAGTATTTACTATTTATTATAAAAAGTGGGGACACTGGATGATGGGCACACCATATTAGAAGTGGGTCTGTTTTTAATCAATCTTAGGAAAAGATACCTGTGGGACAAATTGTCATCTGGAAATTAGGAGTTCACATTTTCTGTTGAAGATGCATTGGCTTCTATTTTGGGAAACCTTTCAAGAGATGATTCATCCATGAACAGGTGCCCAAAGTCACCTTTAAGAAACTTGCAGCTTTTTGCTGTATGTTGTTTTTGTGTTAGCTCTGCAAGTATGAGTGAAAAGAGTGACACCTAGCTGAAAATTTGAAGAAAAAACTTAACGCCCAGCTCTTCTCACCCCAGGGTTTCCTTCATACAGCCAACCCTGAGGAAGATGAAACTGTTTTTTATAGGGAGGATTTTCCTATGAAACAGGTAAATGAATAATTCAAAAGTTTGGCTCAATAAAATTCTTGGGATAGAGGTATGGAGAGGGGAGATGACTGTTGGGCAAACTGCTACATAAGGTGAATACTAGAGTTTATGGATCCACATAAATGCCAGAAGGGCATGGTGGTCCACTTTTAATCCCAGTGTTCAGGAGGTACACACAGGATCCCTGGAGAAAGCTGTCTAGCTAGATTAGCTGAATCAACAAGTTCTGAGTTCAAATGAGAGATTCTTCCTCAGCATATAAGGTAAAGAATGATGAAGGAAGAGACCTATGGGACCTAGAAAGCTGGCTCAGGGGTCAGAGCTCTTGCAGAAGACCTGAGTTCTGTTCCCAGTACCTACTCCATCTCCAAAGGATCCAATCCTTTTGTACTTGTGCTGGGCACCTGTACTCACATGTGCACACATATTATTAAAAGTCAAAATCAAAAGGTATTTTTCTTGTCATTTGACATTTTCAGATGCCAACCTCTCACACATGCATCCCCATGTATGCCTATACATGTGAACATAGCACATGCCACACATAAACAAACAAAAATCTCAGGATATTTAATTGTAAGCATTCCTTCCATAGACATTTTATGGTAATTAAAAGGCTGAAAAAATACTTATTTATGAGGTTGTAGCAGTAATTCAAATCTTAAAAATGATGTTTGAGAGGAAGACAAAGCATGCCTAATCTTGACATTTTTCTTTTTTTTATTAAGATTTTTTTTTATTCATTTTACGTACCAATCAAAGATCCCCCTCTTCCCTCCTCCTTCCCTTCCAACCTCCCCCTCCCAAGCCAACCCCCCCATTCCCTGCTACAAGAAGGTAAGGCCTCCCATGGGGAGGTACATACATTTAGTAGAGGCAGGTCCAAGCCCCTCCTCCTTCCTCAAGGCTGTACAGGTGCCCCATAATAGATAGTGGGTTCCAAAAAGCCTGCTCATGTAACAGGGATGGATTCTGATCCTACCACCAGGGGGCCCCTTAAGCAGATCAAGCTACCCAACTGTCTCGCTGTGCAGAGGGCCTAGTCCAGTCCCATGCAGGCTCCACAGCTATTGATCTAAATTTCATGAATTCTCACTAGTTTGGTTTGGTTGTTTCTGCAGGTTTCCCCATCATGATCTTGATGCACTTGCTCATCTCTCTTGGATTGGACTCCTGGAGCTCAGCCTGGTGTTTGGCTGTGGATCTCTGTATCTGCTTCCAGTAACTCTATGATGACAGTTAGGATATTCACCATTCTGATTACTGGGGTAAGCCAGTTCAGGCACCTTCTCCACTATTGCTAGTAGTCTAACCAGATTACAACTCACAGAGAAGCTAGCTAAGAAGGAGGACCCAAAGACAGATGCATGGATTGCCCTGGGAAGGGGAGATAGATGAGATCTCTATGAGTAAATTGGGGATGAGGGGTGGGCAGTGGAGGGTAGGAGATGGGGGTTGAGAACATAAGGGAATGGGATGGTCGAGCTGAAACAGGGATGGAGTGGGAGAGCAATGAAAGAGATACCATGATAGAGGGAGACATCATGGGGATAGGAAAAAACCGGGTGCTAGGGAAGTTCCCAGGAATCCCCAAGGTTGACATTTTTCTTACCCTTTGATTAGATTGTTACAAAGTCACCCTTAAGATGAGGGTATTGAAAGTGAGAGTGAGGACACCCAAGTCAGTTGGCGGCAGAATTAACAAAGGGATGCGTCTGACAATAACTGCTTGGTTTCAATTATTGTGACCTTCCCCAGAGTATATTCAGCTGGAGAATGAAAGTCCCTCTTTTCCCTGTTTGAGTCCCAAGAATGTTCTAAGTCTCTGATTCCCTTTGTCAATGAGTGCTTGTTGGAAAGGTCTTACAAGTCTAAGTCCACCAGAGATGTAGTGGAAAGTAAGCAGCTTTTGCAATGGGAACCCCACTTGAGAAGATTTTCCTGAACCTAAAGTTGTTTGAAGCCAGATGGAATGGTGGCTGACTATGGCATTAGCACTCTGGAGGCTTAGGCAGCAGGATCATGCATTTGAGGCCAGTATAGGTCACTTTACAAGGTGTTGTCTCCATAGAAACTGAATTCTGTGAATACTATTGTGTTCTTGTACTTGCACTTTGCTACTTTAGTATCATTGTTGTTATTATTATTAGTACCCTTTAACATTGCCTCTTTTGTTGTGGGGACTTTACACTCACCCTCCCTTTTGATCTTTGATTAGAAATGTTACTTCAGGTTCATTTCTTTCTCTAAGGCACTTTATTCCTTAGGCTGTTTCTGTCTTCAGAATGTAAACACAGTTGGTCTGAGTTGGACTAAAGGAAGGAAATTTACCACTGTGCCTTGAATAGTGTCTTTCATAGAACAAGCATCAATAAATATTTGTCAAAGAATACTTCATTTCTGATGGAGGAATGAAGGTTTTAGAGACAGCAGAGGGCACTCTTTGTCTTTGATGTTATGAAACAAAACTTTGTAGACTGCAAATTAGTGTTAATGTCCTCCTGCTATTAGAAAGCCTGAAGACTTGGTACCGTGTGTATGGTCTAGTAACTCAAATGTCCGGCCTGAGCAGTAGAAAAGCACAGATAGCCCCAGGTCCACTGCTTACCTTGGTTGTCCCTGACAGTGAAGTTGGGGTTGTTAGCAGCCTCAGGAGCCAAGCTGTAGTAGAAATGCTGACCGTTGTGAGGGTCATCTTGATCCACAGCACTCACTGTCTGGATGAGCTGAAGGAGGACACGATTTCAGGGTGAATTGGATCCAAAGGAAAAGGCAGAGTCTAGTGAAAGCCTAAATTTTGAGTACAATAGTAAGTCATTTCCCCAATGAGAAAATGTCCTGAAACTAACCAGAAACCCTCCATGCCATCGCACAGTTTAGGATTAGTTAAGCATGTTCTTGATCTTGCATATGCTAGTAGGTAAAGAATAAGTGTGGCCTAAATGTTTCAGATGCATTATATTCTCACAGCTTGGCCAGTTACTTTAAAGTGTTTTAAAGAGAAAAAGTGAAAGAACCATGGAGTGTCACAAGGCTCTGTGTCCCCGTTTCCTCCTCTCACTCAGTCTGTATCCCATCATTAAGTAAGTATTTTGTGACTAATTGCCACCTCTGAGAAGCATCTGTTTAAAAATAACAACTACCTAGAAGGCAAGTAAACAGGGCAGTGTTAAGCTATGGACTGTGGATGTGGGGGGCATGGGCCACAGGACAGCCATGTTTTGTTGGCAGGAAGGGAGTTAGAAAAGTTGTAGAGCAGAAGCTCACCATGGTGGGAAGCAGACTAGAGTCAGAGGTGTGAGGGTGTAGTTCAGTTGGGAAAAATAAAATAAAAAATGGAGCTCAGTGGCAGGGAGGGCCAAGTTCTCTATCCCACAATGTTCTTCAAAGGAATAACTTTCATGAAGGCTGTGGGAACTCATGGAGAGGCCATTAAAGAAAGCAGGATGAAATAGACAGTTGGGACATTAGTTGGTGGGCTGTGGTTGCTGGAGGGTGGGTATAGACAAAGTTTTGATGAGCTGGTTTCCATTGGTGTCCACTGTAACACCCTGTAGCACTGATGGTTCCTATTCAATTTGGGCCTGGCCCTGTAAACCTGCTGTTTCTGCTGGAAAGGCTGTCTTTCTTCCAGGACAGAAATGACTATCAAGAGTCAGCTTGAGGGCCCAGAGTTTTACATCATGCTGAAGGTTAGGGCGCTGCCCAGCAAGGCATTTCTGCTTACTGTTCAGATCCTCCAAAGACTCGTTTCCTTACTCCTCACCTTCCAGTCTCTCAGGGATCACCTTCACTGCAGACAGCTAACTTACCCATGGTTATCATATCCTTTCAGGGTAACCTACAACCAATGATGAGCTGACGCAGGGTAGTAGAAAGGCTTCACTGTCCCCCTTAAACTTAGGAAAACTCTTATTCTAGAAATTTGTAAGGATGTTAATGTATCTTTATTGCAGCTGGACTTTTTAATTTTTTTATTTTGCTTAGTCCCTCTGGCTTTCCTTTTTATAGGTCTCAAAAACATCATGTATCAGAACTCCACCTCAGGGTAAGCCTCCTGGAATGCCTGACTGTTGAATCCAAAAGTGGATAGAATGGAGTAGTAATAAAGGCAAGGGTCAGGAGCGCAGTGGAAATAGTCACATACAGTTAGCCTCAGTCAGTGCTGCTCGCAACTGAGGGCACTATCTACCTTAGCCCCATGGAGAAGCAAATCCTGTATTTTTTTTTTAAATTTTGATTTCCAAATGTAAAGAGATAAAAATGTATCTTAGGGAATGTTTTGAATAGATAATATAGTGGGAAAACTTTTAAGACAGATCTTACAACTCTGTGTGTATTGGTTGAGATGGGACTTTGAAAGGTGGGTAGACAGTGTGGTGGGATTCATGGTGGGAGCACCATGGATTTTCCTGACAGTCCTTAGCCCCACTTGTCTAATATTTTGCTCAGCACTTTCGATTCTTTCCCCTCTAATCAGCAGGCATACATTTCACTTTTGTATGGCTTTCATCCACTGTAAGAGAAGAGCATACGCATATACTTGCAGAGGTGAGGATGACCAGTGTTGGGCAGGTATAGGAAAACCTGATGATTAATATAGCAATACCTTAGCTGTGTGTTTCTGAAAACCTTCAAAACCAGAGCCCATATCAGAGGCCAGGGTTATCCATACTGTGGGCTGAAGGTGACAAATGGAGCAGGCTTGTGACACTGTCCCCTAACTCCAAGTAACAGATAAATTGCACTACAAAGACTTGTACAAAGGACCATTAGAGACGGCCTTAGAAGTGGAGGACACACATGGCTCCAAAAGCAGGAGAGGTGGGTAAGATGTTAGTCTCTTGTCATAGTGAAGCTTCTTTTCCAGAGCCTTAAAGAGATAAAGTGTTCCACTTTAAGGAAAGAGGGAACTTCCTTTATTGTACTACTTAGTATTCTCTAAATTCATGACTATATACAGTTATATAAAGAAATACATAGTTTTAAAAAATAAAGTCTTTAAAGAGACAGTAAAATTAATATAAAAAATAAGCCATGTAAAGATGGATATCACACAGAGAATCTGGATTATGTTGTCTTTGGGATTTTTAACTGAAGAGAGATATTTGATTGTAAAGGCAGTGGAGTTAAACCAATATGTGTATTTTAAAGATAACTTGACTTCAAAATTTGGATCTAAGGATATGTTGCTTTGGAAAGGAGGCTCTGCCTTTGTTTCCACAGAAAGCAAGAGGCTATGGATTTGTTCCAGATTAAGATACATCAGGTTTGACCAACCAAGACCACCTGAAAGGTCTCCGATGACAACATGGCCCAGATGATCCAACATCCAGAATGGTTTCAAGGCAACTGGCTCAGACGATACACCATCACAGACTACTTCATAATTCTAAAATTTTCTTTGTGTCCCCATAAGATACAGCGCTCCCCTCCAGCAGGAAGTAGTAAGAGAAGCTACGCCCAAGTTCCCAAATATACCAAGCTGGCTTTGGAGATGGAATAGGCTCACTCCTTCTCTAAACCCAGACATATTGCTAAAAGAAAACGTTAAGAGATTCTTGTGTCCCATATCAGAAGAGCCCTCTGGTGTGGGACAGAAAGAAAACAATATTTTTATTTAAATCAGGTTGATTATAAATGTGATCTCTTTCTAAAGAAGAAAAGGGGATATGATATAGATATATAGGATATAGATATGATAGGATAAAAGTTTAGATTGTTGAATCTACTTTTAAAGAGCAACTTGTTTAAAAATGTTTTACATTGCTATGGATTTTAGTCTATTGATACAAATTTAAACTTAATTTTGTTATGCTGTGTATATATATATATATATATATATATTTCTATTCTCGTTTGAGGTATTATATTTATACAACTCATTTAAATTGTAATGAAACAATTAGTCTTCTATGATAGTCAAACTTATAGCCATGTTAGTTAAGTCTTCTAGGTATACATAGATATATTTCAGATAGATAGGTAATCTTCAAATACTTCAAAGACCTATAGAATATGGCATTTAAAATATTTTAAAAATTTAGACTTTCTGGACAGTGAGACATGTCTGCTCCTGGCAGCACTGGATTTGCTTCAGAGAGGAGGATGGGCATCGAAGACACTCTATATAGAGTTTATCTTCACCTTGGTAAAAATAGCCATTTGGGCAAGAAACTGTTCTTGCCTGGACTGCCTGATCAACTGGACATGCAGGACCCATAGGAAGGTGACCACTGAACTTTGCTTGGCGAAATAGTCCTTCAGG